AAACAAACCAAAAACAAACATTGCTGGGTATTGAACCCATGCCAGGCAAACTGAGCCATATCCTTGGCTCAGAAAAAGTCTCAGTATGTACCTCTGGCTGGCCTGGCACTTGCAATATAGGCCACCCTAGACTTGAACTCATAGCCTCCTGCCTCAGCCTCCCAAGTACTAGGATTAAAGGTGTGCACCACCACACTGGAGTAAACAGTAACTTTAAAAAAAAACAAACATTCTAACGCAATACAATCAAAAGATATACTAATTTGATGCTTACATTTTGAGGAATGACTATAGGAATATCTCAAAAACCTGTCTCTGTAATCAAACCATTATGTTTCTAGAAGAGCAAAACACTCTGTAATCCATAACATAACAATAATTTGAAATCTGAGCCAAGGTGTTTCAGGTAGTTCACTAGCATTTCCTCGTGTGACAGCACACACAGTGCAAACTGTACATGCTGTGTGTTCAGAACTGAGGCCGCAGTGGAGTTGCATGATGCAACACAGGTGAGAGCTGACAGAAACAACCTGATTCATTATGTATTCAATATCAGAAACCTCTTGCTGAAAAAAGTATTTTATTTATTTATTTTTTTATGAGTGTGTTGCCTAAAGGTATGTAAGAGCACCTGGGTCATGTAATGCCCATAGAGGACAGAAGAGGGCGTCAGATCCTCTGAAACTTTGATGATGATATTAGCTGCCATGTGGGTGCTGGGAACAGAATGGATCCTCTACAAGAGCAGCCAGTGCTCTTAACTGCTGAGCCATCTCTCCAGCTCCCAGAAACCTCTTACTGTTGCCAAAGTTTTGAGCCCCCCCATTCAATTACAGGACCCCATATAGTTTCACAGCCCAGTTTAAGAGGCTGGGGTCTATATCATGCTAGGGAAATGCTGATGTCTCAGCTTTATTATTTATTGGTAGAGACCAACTTTATTTATTGGTAGAGACCAATATCCAATTTACTTTGTCAACCAACCAAGGAAGCTACAGCATGTCTTCCAATTGCATGAGTGTGCTGGTTCCTGATGTCATGGCAGGGAGAATAGGTGCCATTCAGTTCCACTGTACTGTTTTGCTTAATCTTGCTTCTGTCTCATGGCACCTAAGCAATGTGTATGTGTGTGTGTGTGTGTGTGTGTGTGCATGTGTGTGTGTGACATTCAGGGGTTCCCTGGAGGACAGTGCAGTTGCATCCTAACTTTACAGCCCCAGCTAGATGAGCACTTCACTGCAGTCCCAACACAGGCAGGTTCCAAGTCTCACCCAGCAGTGGCACCTTGATGCATTTTGAGCCTTGCCCACCAGCCTTGGTTTCCCTGTACTTGAGGGTTGTTTTTCATGGCTCCCGATATGGAAAGTGCACAGGCCAGGCCCCACCCCACTCTGGCTCATCATGCACATTCAGGCATCAGCTTGGGATAGTGTGGGTCCCCAACAATGGTTTCCTGCTGCCTAGCCTAGGCAACTCTGTGAACCACCCTCTAACCACCTGCTTCTGTCAGGTCTGACCTTGAGTCTTGGGGAAGGGCGAGAACCCTTCTAAATCTACTCTTCTTTGCACATGCTCCTGAGGTCCCTGGTGCCCTTCAGTGCTCTCTACATCTATACTTGTCTCCTTATCAAGTCGATTGTCTTTGTGTTACACTTTCCCTGCTCAATTGTGTGCACTGGACCTAGGCTGACACTAGATAAAACATAAAATTCAAAATCTCTGATAAGTGAACCCATGTTCACAAATTAAACCTTGTATGTCCTCGTCTATGTCAACTGTTGTAGTGATTCCTTTGGAAAGGCCTTTAGCAAATGCCCAAATCTTAACATTGGCGAAGGCATACTGGAGAAAAATCCTACAAATGAACGCAAACAGAATCAAAAAGGCATCTAGATGAGTAGCAGTTCAATACCACTCAGTTCACACCTGAGCGGCTGGGAAGATAGCTCAGTGGGCAAAGGGCAAGAATGAAGACCAAAGTTCAACCCCAGAACCATATTAAGGAAAAAAAAAAAAAAAAAAGCCAGATGTGGTGATGTATACTTGGAATCCCAGTGCTGGGGAGGCAGAGACAGGCAGATGGATCCCTATCTCAAAAACCAAGGTGGATGGTACCTGAGGAATGACACCCCAGGCTGTCTGCTAGCCTCTAAGTGCACACACACAAACATGTACATATAGATAAATCTAACCCCTACCCCAAAATCATGCTGGAGTGTGGTCAGCTGTGGCCTTAGCTGAGGTCCAACATTTGCAGTTTGTATTAGAGAGAAACCTGTGAACAGAGAAGTCATGCAAAGACCTTTCACACAGTCGAGTGCACCAGAGAGAAAAGTTTCTGAATGTAACTAGTATGTAATATATTTTAGTCAGCTCAACACTTGCTCAGTCGCAGAGAATGCACATGATAAAAAACAAACTAGGTAAGACTAAGGATATGTCAGGCAGGAAGAAGTACTTGAAAATATTTTATACATGTCATTAAATGTGATAACCTTTGAAATGGCAGCCAAACACATATCACCAGGTGTCTGAAAGCTGTTAAGGCAGAGTGACTTTATCAAGATTACTGGGGAAGACTCAAAAAACACAAGAATGTGAGCTTCTTTATTCTGATAAGGGTACTTTGAACTCTCTTGCTGCAAGGATGGAAATTTTAAAAAATGAGTGTTACAATTCTATGTCCAAGATGTCTATAAAGCTGGGCATAGTGGTGCATGCCTTTAATCCCAGCACTCAGGAGGCAAAGGCAGGCAGTCTCTGAGATTGAGGCCAGCCTGGTCTACACAGTTCCAGGTGAGCTGTGGCTATAAGGGGACCCTGTTTCAAAACACAAAGGACAAAACGCAAACATACATACGTACATATGCATATATGTATGTACGTATTGCTTATGTGTAGTTGTAAAGCTAACTTAAGTAGATATGGTAGTTTTTGGTCTTTTTGAGACAGAGTCTTCCTATAGCCCCAGCTGTCCTGGAACTATGTAGACGAGGCTGGCCTTGAACTCAGAGATCTGCCTGCCTCTGCCTCCCAAGTGCTGGGACTACAGGTGTGCACCACCATGCCCGGCTTTTTTTTTTTTTTTTTTAAGAGGACCTAAAGAGGTAAAATACTGGCAATATAGCTGATTCTAGATGGAAGAACCATAGCATTTGAGAACTTGAATGCTTTGGGTGTGCAGGTAGCTCTCCTTCACCAAAGTGTCCATCATGCTGTTTTTATGTTCTATGATTTCTGTGGCAAAACATGTCAGCCCACCCCAGTGAAGGCCTACACTGTAACCTCTGGAAAGTCCTCAGAAGTTAGGCTGAGAAATGCACTTTTGGGAAGCCGATATTTTGCAGTGACAGGATTTGACTACTTTGCCTCTTTATAGACAAAGAGCACTTTCTGGAAGTATTTGGTTTGATCTTATGCTTTGTGACCTCAGCATATGTCAAGTGCTGGGTCAAGAATTTCAGATACAGGCTGGAGGGCTGGCTCAGTGGTTATGAGCACTGACTGCTCTTGCAGAGGACCCAGGTTCGATTCTTAGCACCCACATACATGGTGGCTAACAACGTCCTAATTCCCGTTCCAGGGGATCTGACACCCTCTTCTGACCTCTGTGGGCACTGCATGACATGGGTGCACTGATGTGCAGGCAATACACTCATACACATAAAATATTTTTAAAAAAGAACCAGATATGATTGAGATGTTACTATGCCAACATTACAGTTATTCCTGAATTATCTGAATAAAACCTTCTGTTAAATTTAGTTTTTTTTTGGGGGGGGGCATTTTTGAAGCAGGGTCTCCCTTGTAGCCCCAGCTGGCCTGGAACTCTATATAGAATCAGGATGGCCTGGCAATAATAAATTTTTAAAAAACTAAATTTAGCTGGGTGTGGTGTTATATGCCTTTAATTCCAGCACTTGGGAGGTAGAGGCAAGAAGGTCTCTGTGAATTTGGGGCTAGCTTGGTCTACATAGTGAGTTCCAGGCCAGCTGGGGCTACAGGTAGACCTTGTCTCAAAAAGACCAAAAAAAAAATTATCTTCTCAGTATATTACCAGCGTGTAAGTACACCTCTGTTGTGCAATGCCCATGGAGGTCAGAAATGGAGTTACAGTTATTGGCCACCATGTGGGTGCTAAGGATCAAACCCAGGTCCTCTGCAAGAACAGCCAATACTCTTAACCACTGAGCCATTGCTCCATCCCCTAAATTTAGTTAAGAGTGAGCCTGAACTCAAAGGACACTTGTCCCTGAGATGTCTCTTGGAACTGTGTCTCTGAATCAGGCCTCACACAATTTTATTCTAACTGGTTTCTCCAGCTTCAACTGGGAAAGTACAAACTTGGATCCACCCTTATCAGACAATCTTGCCCTTTCATCTCTAGTTCTGGAATATCTCATATACAATGTCAAGCGTCCTTTCTTAATCTCCATGTTTTCAAGATGTGCATGCTGTCTTTCAGTGCTTTGCTACTTTAATTCTCAAGCATACTCACAGTCATTCCCTATCTTGGGATGGTGTAGCAAACTGAGGTTTCCAAGAAGCAAGATTAGGTGCCCAGGGCACAAGAGCACATGGTCAGTGAATTTGCCAATGTTAATTATGACGATTTTATTAAAGTCATTCCTAAATGATGTATAATTCTCACAAATCCTCTGGGTGGAGAGAGGCAGAGCACTCCCAGCTTCTGCTGGCAGAGGGCAGAAGATCGAGAGGCTGAGGTGCGGGACAGGAGGGCTGTCATCCAGCCAGCGCCACTGCTTTGGGGGTTCTCACTCAGTCTTGCTTGTAGAATTGCTGGAGCTGATTTCCTGTTTTTAAAGTTACATTTGTATTTATTAGCTCTTTACTGTGTATGTGTGTACAGCAAGCATGAGATCCACCTGGTTCTCTCCTTCTAGAATGTGGGTCCTGGGTATCAAACTCAGGTCATCAGTCTTGGCAGCAAGTGCCTGCACCCACTGAGCCATCTTCCTGGCCAGGGTTCCTGTTCTTTATTTCTCCATTTATCTTTAAAATAAACCCTATCCCTCACCAACTGAAGTTACTGAAGTCCATGCTGCTCATTCTAACCAGAGAGCCCCACACATCTGCAACAGTTTCCAAAAACTTTTACTGTGAAAAGTTCAAGAAGCCACGTGTAAGCCAAAAGCATTAAAAGTAGAAAACATAAAATAGAAACATAAAAATAGAAGACATAATTTATGGGCATATTTTTCTACACAAAAGGCTGATCTTTATAAAAATTTACAATAAATAATTGAAAAAATCAGTGCCGTTGATTGCATAAAGGTTTGTTTCTGTGACTGTCTCAAGGTGACAGGTCTTCTATGTCGTCAAAAGATGAGGGGTCTGACATCTGTTTTGAGCTTGAGCTGTGAGTCTCTGCCGAAGATTCCTCACTTTCTTGAGAAGATCCTGTTCCATGCTGCCCCATCCTGTTGTTTTTCTATTTAAAAACACTTGAAAACAAAATTTACAGTTACTAGTAGTTAAATTTTCTGATGGGAGCAACAATATTAGCATTTAACTTGAGTGCAAAAATGTCACAGAAATCAATAATGAAACAAATATTCTTAAAAGTATATCCCTTGAACAAAAAGCCCTATGTGGTCTCATCTCCAAGTCAAGTATTTGTTTGTTGACTTGAGTAAGGATCAGTGGGGAGCGCACGTCATTTGCGCTAACCAGGAACAAGTTAGGGACAGCACACTTCCCACCAGGACAGTCAGTGGCAAGACGAAAGGACAGGTTCCAACTCATAAGATCGCAACATAAGCTCCATGACAACTTTCCCAGTGAACAACAAAATGACACCAGGAGAACAGAATCAAATAAATAATGTGCTCAGGTGTAATGGCTGTTTCATGAGAGGGAGGGCCAGTAAACATACTTCCGAAGCTTTTATGTTTAAATAGCTTCAGTTTCTGAAAAACTATTTTCTTCCCCCAAAGAAGGGCAACTTTTATACTTTTATTTATTTTCCTGGCAAATAACTTAAACTTAGCCAGTTTTTCTTCTTAGCTTTGAAATGTAAAATTATCTAATTAAAAGTTTAAGTTCTAAATCCTAGCTGGAATGATGGAGTATGCCTGTAGTCTCAGCTACCCTGAGGGCTTAAATGACAGGATTGTTTGAGCCCAGGTTGGATGAAATAGTGATA